TCCCGTGCCTGTGTCCATTACAAGCTTGAGGCGGCCGTCCTTAACCTGAAGCACCGGGAGCGTTTGTCTTTTCCTGAGGCGAGGCGCCAGGTTCGCCGGCTCCCGCCTTATACTAACATCTCTTATGCTCGCGTGTTGCGCTCTTCCTCTCCTCGTCCTTCCCCCCCTTCCTCAGACTCTCAACCGTTTCCGGGCCTTGGACCCTGATACGCCCACTGCCCCCTCCTCTGTTCCTTTGAGTTCTTTCCCGAGGGGTCCCCCTCCTGGTCCTCTGTCTGGGGTTCCCCTTCTTTCAACCCGGTCTGTCATGTCTCCTGTGTCTTCTTCCTCGTCCCCCTCCGATCCTCCTTCCCATCCTCTTCCTCCATCTATCGGCTCTCCCCGCCGCCTGTCGGTGCAGGCGGATGTCCATCGCTCTCCTAGCGGCCGTCGTGTGTGCTCTCGTTCGGCTTCTCCTGTTGAGACACTGGAATCCGTTGCCCGGTACGTAGTTGCTGGGACACCTGTCTCTTTAAGTCAGAAGCGTAAGCCTGGCTCCTCTCCTTCCTCTTCCCCGGCGGGTAAGAAGGCTTCGCTTTCTTCCTTAGCTCCTACTTCTGGCTCTGTTGCTCCTTCCCCTCCCGTTTCAGTGGTTGCGCCCCCTGTTCCTGCTATGGAGGTTTCTTTGGCCCCTGCTTCCCTTTCGGTTGCTGCTCTTGCTGGGGTGCGCTCCCCTCTTTCTACTCCCCCTCTTCCTACTGCTGTCCTTGACTGCTCCTCTCCGTTGTCTCCTCCTCTTCCTCCTCCTCCTCCGGACCCCGCCCGCCCACCTCTGATCTGTTCTCCCGTTTCCTTCCCTCCGTCTCTGCTCAGTTTACCCATGCCCCCTAACCCTGACTTTGCTGACCCTGATCCCGACCCTGATATTCTTTAACGTGCTCTGTTGCTCTTTCGCCTTTGTTTCTTCCTTGTTCTCTGTTTTTGTCCTTTCTCTTCCCGTCGTTGTTCATTCTTCAATGGAACGTTCGAGGTTATTACGCCAATTTCCTCGAACTCCAACTTCTGATTTCGCGGTTTTCGCCCCTTTGTGTCTGTCTCCAGGAGCCAATGCTTGGTGCTCGTCCTGGTCGTTTTCGTGGCTATTCCTTTCTCTCCCCCCCCCCAGCCATTGCTGGGGCTTCTAATTCTTCTGCTCTCTTGATTCGTGCAGATGTTCCCTTTGTTCCTTTACTTTTTCCTTCGCCTCTCCATTGTTCTGCTGCTCGTATCTTTGTGGGGAAATGGTACACAGTTTGTTCCATTTATCTCCCCCCGAGTGTCCCGCTCTCTCTTCCTGATTTGAAACACCTCCTAGACTCCTTGCCGGAGCCTGTGCTCCTGCTGGGTGACTTCAATTGTCGTCATTCACTTTGGGGTGACGTTCTGACGAATACACGGGGTCGCCTCCTTGAGCCGTTTCTCCTATCTTCTTCCCTGTCTCTTCTGAATTCTGGTGAGCCCACTCATTTGGACTCTCGGACTCGCACCCTTTCTTGTCTTGATCTTTCTCTCTGCTCTTCTTCTCTTTACTTAGATTTCACGTGGCAGGTTCTTGATGACCTCCATGGAAGTGATCATTTCCCCATCCTTGTTTCCTTTTTCTCTTTTCGCCCTTCCCTCTCTTTCCCTAGGTGGCAGGTTGCTAAGGCAGACTGGACCCTATTTACCCTCAGTGCTGCTCTCTCTGACCTCTCCCTTCTGCCTCTCTCTCGCGCTCTCCTCCTTTTTCATGACACTGTCTTCAACGCTGCCCTCCGCTCTATTCCTCGCTCTTCCTCTCGGGGTCCACGGAAGTGCGTTCCCTGGTGGAATGCGGACTGTGCTCGGGCTGTCCGCTGTAAGCGTGCAGCCTGGAAGAGGCACCGCCGTAGGCAGACGACCGATTCTTTTCTTTTCTTTCGGAAAGCGAGTGCGGTGGCCCGTAGGGCCATCCGTACGGCTAAACGTGAATGTTGGGCATCTTATGTCTCAACAATTACGTCCGAAACCCCTCTGGCCCAGATCTGGAAGCGTATCCGCAAGATAGCGGGTAAGTTCGTTCCCGATGTTTCACCGGTCCTTCACCTCCATGATACTCTTGTGGCGGACCCGTTGCAGGTCGCTTCCGAACTGGGTTCCCACTTTTCTTCTGTTAGCTCTGGTCTTCATCTTCCCCAATCTTTCCTTCTTCGTAAACCTGTCCTAGAGTCTCGTCCTTTAGATTTCTGCACTCATCTTCAGCTTCCCTATAATGATCCCTTCTCTCTCTCTGAACTTCGTTCTGCTCTGGCCCTCTGCGGTTCTACGGCGGCGGGCTCCGATGGTATTCATTATGAGATGCTTCGCCATCTCCCTCCGAGCACGTCTCAGTATTTACTGAGTCTGTATAATCGGATCTGGGAGTCGTCGTCAGTCCCTGAGGACTGGCTCGATGCCGTTGTCCTCCCTGTTCGCAAACCGGGGTCTCTGGGTACCTTCCCTAAGGACTTTCGCCCTATTGCTCTCACAAGTTGTGTCTGCAAACTTTTTGAACGTATGGTTAACGTTCGTCTGATGTGGTTCCTGGAACACCATCACCTTCTCTCCCCTTCTCAATTTGGTTTCCGCAAGTGCCGCAGCACGACAGATGTCCTGGTGAACTTGGAGGTCTATATTCGTACTGCTTTTGCTGCGAAGACCTCCGTTGTTGCCGTCCTTTTTGACCTGGAAAAGGCTTACGACACCACTTGGCGTTATCATATCCTATCTCAACTTCATTCTTTTGGCCTTCGTGGTCATCTCCCTCTCTTTCTCCGCAGCTTCCTCTCTCGTCGTTCCTTTCGGGTGCGCCTTGGTACCGCTCTCTCTCCCTCTTTTCAGCAATACGAAGGTGTGCCCCAGGGTAGTGTTCTGAGCACTACTCTTTTTCTGGTTGCCCTCAATGGTCTTCTTTCCTCTCTTCCTTCTGGTGTCTTCTCCGCTCTCTATGTCGATGATCTTACCCTTTGTTGTCAGGGTGATGATTCGCCTTTCCTTCAACGCCGGCTTCAACTTGCAATTGATGCCGTGTCGTCTTGGGCCACTGATCATGGCTTCAAGTTCTCTACTTCTAAGACTTGTGCCATGACATTTACGCGGAAACGGGTTGTTCTTCGTCCCTCTTTGTCACTTTATGGTCATCCCCTTGAATACAAAGATTCCGCGAAGCTTTTGGGGTTATTCCTTGACACTCGTTTGTCTTGGTCTCCCCATATCTCTTACCTCCGTGTTGAGTGCTCTAAGGCCCTTACCCTCCTTCGGGTCTTGTCCCATACTTCTTGGGGGGCAGATAGGCGCACTCTCCTTGCTTTACATTCTTCTCTCGTCCTGTCTAAGCTCGATTATGGTTGCCCTGCTTACTCGTCTGCTTCTCCTTCTACTCTTCGCCGTCTTGATGCTTTGCACCATACTGGGTTGCGCCTCAGTTCTGGTGCCTTTCGTTCGACTCCCGTCCTTAGCTTGTATGTTGACACTGGCTTCCTGTCTCTCCAGGACCGCCGTGATCGCTACTGTCTTCGCTATCTTGCGCGGTCCTTGCAACATCCTTCCTCTCGCCTCTGTCGTGCTTTAACTTTTACCCCTCCTGCGGTTCCTGTTCCTCTTCACCACCTCCCTCTTTCTGTCCGGTTATCTCGCCTGCAGGATTCTCTTTCCGTTCGTATTTCTGATGTTTCTCCTCGTGTTGTTCCTTCTTTGCCCCCGTGGAGGGTCACTCTTCCGCGGTTTTGTACTTCCTTGACCCGTATCACTAAAGCTTTTACCCCTCCTACGGTTCTAAAACGCCTTTTCCTCGAGCACTTTTCTTCTCACTCCCGCTCCGTTTCTGTCTTCACCGATGGGTCTAAGTCAGCGGACGGTGTTGGCTACTCTGTTGTTTTTCCTGATCGCACTTATATGTGTCGCTTGCCTCCGGAGACTAGCATCTTTACAGCGGAACTTTATGCTATTCTCTATGCTCTTCGTCTCCTACTTTCTCGTTGTCAGTCTTCCTTAGTAGTTGTTGTTGACTCTCGTAGTGCCCTCATGGCTCTCGGGTCCTTTAATCCAGTTCATCCAGTGGTTGTCGAGATCCAGCATTGGCTGTTTCTCGTTCATAGTAAATTTAAGTCGGTTGAGTTTTGTTGGGTTCCCAGCCATATTGGTGTGTCTTTAAATGAGCGTGCGGATGCTGCCGCCAAGGAAGCTGTCCGCTCTTGTCCCATCTCTCGTAAGGGCATTCCGTATTCCGACTTTTACCCGGTTATCCATTCCTCAGTCCTTACCCGTTGGCAGGCTTCTTGGTTGTCTGTTACTGGTAACAAGCTACGTACTCTTAAATGTTGTGTTTCCTCGTGGCAGTCCTCCTTCCACCGTAACCGGCGGTGGGAAACAGCTCTGGCGAGGTTGCGTATTGGCCATACTCGCTTAACCCATGGTCACTTGATGGAGCGCCGCCCTGCTCCTTATTGTCCTAGTTGCATTGTCCCTCTTACGGTCGTGCATGTCCTTCTTGAATGTCCTGACTTCCAGGACGAGCGTATGTCTTGCTTTCCGACCGCCCCTCGCGGTCACCTGTCCCTCGATAGAATTCTTGGTGACTCGGATACTTTTGATATCGTTCGCCTTATGCGTTTTTGTTCTCGTATTGGCATCCTTGGTGATATTTAGCGCCCTCTGATTATTTTGCGTATTTGATGGTGCTACATAGCCTTCCCGGTTTGGTGCCTTCTTTTGATAATTACTTACTTACTTACTTACACAAAACACACATAATCACTCTGAACTTAGGTCTGTTGTTTGAGGTATTTGAAAATTAAGAAAGATTAACATACTATTTGTGGAAATTTCCTAATATGATGTACTGTATTTACAATGTTCATAAATATTAATACCTAATGTCTGGCACTGATTTGTTATGGATTTCATTTGTACAGCACCTTTTATATGTGTGTCTCCATTCCTTCCCTTTTGTCATAATTTACTTTTGTAATTTCTGATTTTGCTAGTGGGAACAGGGGCGGCCAAGGGGGCGGTGCTGGTGGCGGAGATTTTGTGTCGAACATGGCAGCATCAGTTATTGGCAATCTGTTCAGGTAGAGCTCATGCACTCCGATATTTTACTTTTAGATTTTTTATTCATATGCTGTACAGTATTCAATACAATATTACAGTAGAAATGACATTACTACTAAAATGGATATTAATATGTATGTGGATATAATACTGATTTATGGGCATAGCATCTTGGTATCAGTGCTTTCTGGTTTACAAATTATCCAAATTAACTCCTATAGCGGTGACTCTGGTCAGTCAACCACAGAGAGGACTGGTTTCGATACTAGGATGGTTTCGGGGATTGTTGCCAACGTAGTCAGGAATGTCAGGTATAGTACTGGTACTGGCCTTATTTCAGGCATAGGTCACATACACTCATGCATTATATAAACATTTTGCCTCAATTGTTTTGAGTATATGATGCTAGATGATTAAAAACTTTTGACACCATAATCATATTTGTACGAGACAAAACAAATGTTGATGTTGTAATTGTTTTTGTATAAGGCAAAAACAAATTTTGTTTAAAATATTTAATGCTTTTATATTTCCTAATTTCTATGTGCTTGGGTTGGTTGCATTTAGGGGTCGGCCTCAGGCACCTGGAGGTGAGGCCGATGGTGTCAACGATGATATTGTGGCAGCTGTAACATCCTCGGTCATCAAGGAAATTGTCAGGTAGCGGAGGAATGTTGTTAGTACAGTATAGACGTCTGTGATAATAGCTGTTTAAACTAAAACATTTGTAAATGTGACTGTCAAATATATTTGAATGGGTTTGTTTATACAGTGACTAAAGTGACATCATTATATTGGAAGAAAGGAAATGGAACTAATTTAGGTTATGTCTCTATTTCACTGTAGTCAAGACAGTGAGGGTAAAATACTTCCATCAAATGATGCAAATGCAAATAGCTCGATCGTCAGTGGTATCGCTTCTAAAATCGTCCAGAATATAATGAGGTAAAATATGACATGATCTTTTGTATTATTGTGTACATGAAATATACATTACTGGTACATTACATGAGTGTACAATGATAAAATATTTAAAAAAATTCAAATGAAATGAAACATTTCCCCCCAAAAATTTCCTAAATTGCTGTTATGCAATATTACAATTTTGATAACAAAATAATCTTTGAGCATGGCAAGTGAAATTTGACTACTGATAACAAAACAATAAATAACTCAGATCACAGAGGCCTACTGCAAGCAGGGTATTAAGACTGATTTGTTATAAATACCATACTAACATTTAATCCTAGTGATGAGAGTAATGACGAGAGAGTGAAGGCAGTCCAGAAAGGAGAGGTTGACAGCAGCTTCTTGAATGGGATCATCTCCAGTGTGATTAGTGGAATGATTGGGTAGCCTGGACCATTACTTTATTTGTTCTATTGACGTATTATGATACATATGGCTAACATAATATTCTAATATATTTGTGACTAATAAGAATAATTCCTCTGAAGTGGTTATATGCTAACTTTTTTTTTCCATTCGTGCTCAACACTGGAATTCCCAGGTAACTGAGTAACATCTGTTCTGCATGATGTTAGTATTAGACAACTGTTGTGTTCCTCTGCATGCTTTTCCTGCTTGGCACTTAATTGTGTACTCTCTTTAATTTGCTGACTGCATTTTACAGAGGCTGAAGGCTGAGATGGAGAGATGACAGTACTTAATTATTTTGTGTTTATAGAAAAGTTTTGCTTATACAGTAGTCTGTTTTGTGTATGCTCATTAGGCATGATTTGATGGGCATTCTTTTTCTGCATCTATTTTATTTTGTATTATATTTACATTTTGTTACTTGGTCCTCACTATCAGTGGTCGACAAGGTGGAAGTGGAGGTGGCGGTGGCGGTGCAATTAGCAATAATCTGATCTCTGGCATAGCTTCTCAGTACATCGGTAATTTGATCAGGTAAGTTATTTCCTTACAAAGTATTTACACTAGCTAATTTATTGTCTTGCAATAGACACTTTAATTTCTAGATATTGCCTTTTATAAACTTTGAGACATTTTGTATTCTTATGAATTGCTACACATTAGTGTTCATCCAACTATTCATCTATCCATCTATGTGTTGAGAATTTATTTAAGTTACCTTCTCCAAACAATGTTGTGGCAAAGATATACCCATATGGAAACAGAGCCAGAAAGAGATGTGGGTTTGCTTGTGCCACCAATATTCTTGGCACTTTTTTAATTTGAAACTACCTGTACTTGTATATAATTAAGTGTCCATTTAGTGTCTTAAGAATAATAGTCACTCTGTTTTCTGTTTCACTACAAATGCATTTTAAATGAGTTGCTTCCGTTTGTTTAAATTTTTTCCTTTACAATGAAATAATACTTTTCTGGAAGGGCATCATTGGTAACTCCCGCATGCTGTGCACAGGTATATGTAATTGTCAGACTCTCGGTACCATGCTAGACTCTTATCAGTTCAAGAGAGCCAATTAGAGACAGTACTAGAATTTAGTCCACTCATTAGAGGAGAGGGAGAGCCTTGAGATCTAGGATCACCACAGTAACCAAGAGAAAGACCACCAGATAAGTAGAATTCTCCAAAACGGACAAGTTTATGGGTCATACCGGCTATGTAAAGAATCACTACCCGAGGCGAACCTCTGATTCGTCACAACTGATCACAAGATCAGGTGTGACGAATCCCTGGTGGGAATCCCTGGTGGGAATCCCTGGTGTGACGAATCCCGTGACAAGGGCCACGGATCCCTGGTGGCCCTAGCCACCAGGGATCCTGGGTGGCCCACCCTAACATTCATATTTGGTGTTGCCGTATCCAGTACTGTGCTGCTCTACTAGGAGCAGAGTCTTCATTTCAGATAAGTACTCGCCTAGTTGTGCTTGTGGGGGTCAAGCTTTGGCTCTTTGGTCCTGCCTCTCAACTGTCAATCAACTGGTAGGTCTTGGTCTTCCTCTAGACCTCTACACGGGATAAGTGTAGGTCTTCCTTTGGGCATAGTTTTGAGTAAGAGTCATTACTGCTTTTGTTCCTTTAAGCTTCACATGCATGTAAAGATGATTGGAACAAGTTAAGTAAGGTGGTGCCAAAACCATCAATAGTTTCAAAGAGTCGTATGACAGAGTGCTGGGAAAATGTAACACCACAAGTGTAGGTCTCATCCTGTAACTACACTTAGGTAATTACCTTGTGTGCGCCATGTGTTTAGTGTTTGCAAAGAACCAGGGCTTTCTTCCTTGGTTGCCATTATCATTGCCCTTGACTTTAGCCAGGGTTATTTTCCCTGGGGAGATTCATGTGCACTCTCTTTTGAGGCTCATTCTGTGGAGGGGCCTTGCCCTGGGTAATGCTACTCCACAGGTCCCGGTGTGTAGGGTTGACCATTCTCGTGTGTTCTGGCTGCATTCTTGTTGAGCCTTTCTTATTGGGGGAGGGACACGGTGTTGTGTAGTGTCGCAGACACGGTGTTGTGTAGTGTCGCAGACACGGTGTTGTGTAGTGTCGCAGACACGCTGTTGTGCAGTGTCGCAGACACGCTGTTGTGCAGTGTCGCAGACACGCTGTTGTGCAGTGTCGCAGACACGCTGTTGTGCAGTGTCGCAGACACGCTGTTGTGCAGTGTCGCAGACACGCTGTTGTGCAGTGTCGCAGACACGCTGTTGTGCAGTGTCGCAGACACGCTGTTGTGCAGTGTCGCAGACACGCTGTTGTGCAGTGTCGCAGACACGCTGTTGTGCAGTGTCGCAGACACGCTGTTGTGCAGTGTCGCAGACACGCTGTTGTGCAGTGTCGCAGACACGCTGTTGTGCAGTGTCGCAGACACGCTGTTGTGCAGTGTCGCAGACACGCTGTTGTGCAGTGTCGCAGACACGCTGTTGTGCAGTGTCGCAGACACGCTGTTGTGCAGTGTCGCAGACACGCTGTTGTGCAGTGTCGCAGACACGCTGTTGTGCAGTGTCGCAGACACGCTGTTGTGCAGTGTCGCAGACACGCTGTTGTGCAGTGTCGCAGACATGCTTGGAGTTTTGTCCATCATGTGCTCTCAGCTTGGGGGCTCGAGGTGGGTTTCGTAAGAATCCTTGTGCTCGGCCTATTGCATGGTCTTGTGGATAGGTAACTCAAATTTTCCCCTTGCAGTTTGTTTAATTAGAGGTGAGCATAGCTTTATCTTCTAACCCTTTTATTGTAGTTTGTAAAAGGAAGAAACAAAAATTAACATTAATATTTAAAAAAATGACATGCAACTCAAATATATTGTAAACAATATATGATTTCCCAGGTGCTCATCAGACTTGGTGGTTCCTGCTGGGCACTTTTCCTTCCTTCTGGCAATTACCTTACTTTTCTGCCTGTTGTGTTTCTTTGAATTTTTGTTCTGAGGTCTCTAACTTTGCCAGGGGTCATTACCCGTCACACAATTCATTCTCTGCCTCTCAGATCTGTCCCTGTCTCATGCTCTTTATAGCTGCTGTCCTAGTTCATTGGGTTGCTTGATCAGGTTCCTGGCTGGTGTCCCTGAACCTCTGCAGGTGCATCTTGGCATGTTTAACCTCCCTCCCCCCTGTGATTTGGGGTCTGGCTTTAATTTGCCAGACCCCATAATTTACGTGGCTTTAGTGGTGTAGTGGTAAACAGTCTCCGTGGTGTAGTGGTAAGACACTCGCCTGGCGTTCCGCGAGCGCTATGTCATGGGTTCGTATCCTGGCCGGGGAGGATTTACTGGGCGCAATTCCTTAACTGTAGCCTCTGTTTAACGCAACAGTAAAATGTGTACTTGGATGAAAAAACGATTCTTCGCGGCAGGGGATCGTATTCCAGGGACCTGCCCGAAACGCTACGCGTACTAGTGGCTGTACATGAATGTAACAACTCTTGTATATATCTCAAAAAAAAAAAAAAAAAAATTTGGTGTTGGGTGTCTATTTTTTATTTCTTGTCGAGTGTTGGGTTTCGGTTTTATTATTTCTTGATTTTCCTTTTGGGTTCCTGGTGACCAGTTCTTTTACCAAGTTGATGCAAGTTGTGGTTTCTCTTCTTTGGCTTCAGAGGTTTCTACGTCTCGGCTTACCCCAACAATTGTTTGGTTTAGGTTCGCAGTTGATCTGCTTGTCTGCTATCTTGGGTTCGAGTTCTTCCTAGTTGTTGGGTTTCTCATCGACTGGAGTTTGTCCTGTTGTGGTTCAACATTTTTCAGCCTGACACAGGCTGTGTCAGTTAACATGCTGGGGAAAGACTTCAGAATGGCGAGATGTCACCAGCGGAGTCCCTATGGCACTGTTGGTGACAGGCGAGAGGTGGGACCAAAGGGCTGAAGCTCAACCCCCACAAGCACAGCTAGGTAAATACAACTAGGTGAGTACAGCCAAAGGATAACACTATGCAGGTAAAACTCAGCCTGGTGAGGAGGTGCTCAATGTATTTGCATGAAAAAGTGCGGCCTCAAGACCAACTAGATGGAATGCCTATTGCTCTAAACTAGTTTTCAGAACGGGAAATAAAAGCAGCTCTGGAGGGCCACATATGCACTGAACATGGAATATAGCAGCCAACAGGCAATATATAGAAACGAGAAGAGGGGAAGGGGCCCAGTAACAAAAACCTGGCATGACCCCAAGACCCCCACTTGTAGGGGGTCCCAGAATCGGTGGCCTGCAGTGGTACCACTATCGCTCCAACAGTGGCAATCACATTCGAGGACAAAGAAGATCCCTCACTAAATTTAAATGGATTTATCATTTCTGAGAACATACATCTGTTGGTTATTGAAATCTATTGAGCTTACTTTCAAAATATTTCCCCCTAGCACTTATTATGACCCTACAGCACTTATCATTACCCTACAGGGACCATAAGAAGAGTTTCCTGTAGCATTGGTGCTTAGTATGTCTCCTAGCAATGACCCTCACAGGACAGTGGATCTTAGAAGACAATTGAAAGCTCAGAAAGGTGTTTTTTCTCATGTCAGTAATTATTGCAGTATGGCCGTCATAAGATCATGGCATTGAAACATAACTAGACTAAATTGGGCTAGGAAACATGAACTTTATTTGGGTTTTGTATTTCTTGTAACTTTGCACTTGTTGTAAAGTGAGTAGAAAAATACACCAGGTACTACTTGAATGGGATAATTTTTTCTTAAATGATTCAGAATGATTAACTTTTATTTTACAGTGGAGGAGGACAGAGCCAGAAATCGCAGAGTAATGAGGATGATGTACTCTCTGGTATTGCTGCAAATGTTATTGGAGGCCTGGCTGGGTTAGTATGAGAGAATACTGTCTATATTTTCCTCTTTTTCATAAGTTAATGGAGAAATTGGAATCATAAATTGTTTAGAGAATATCAGTTTAAAGAATAATTTATTCTGCAGTCATTTCTTTAAATACCTGTATGTACTGTAATATTGATTTTTTATTAATAATCATATACATTAAAGTAATATTTCAGAAATGTGCTGCTAATTTGGTTGAGAGTGGAATAAAATTTATATTCATTCAGTACTTCATTTGTTATTATGTATATGTTGACAGGGGTGGCGGTGGAGGAGGTAGCCATTCATCACACTCGGGAGGGGCAATTGCTTCTAACATTATTGGCAAAATCGTCAGGTAAGATCAAATTTTTGTTTTAATTCAATGTGTGTTAGCTGATGGTGTGATGTTGATATTGCAGGTCGTTATTTTTTCAGTTACAGATTTGTAATGCTATTTCTGGGGGGAGCCCCTCGGTGGCTGGGGGAGCCCCTCGGTGGCTGGGGGGAGCCCCTCGGTGGCTGGGGGGAGCCCCTCGGTGGCTGGGGGGAGCCCCTCGGTGGCTGGGGGGAGCCCCTCGGTGGCTGGGGGGAGCCCCTCGGAGGCTGGGGGTAGCCCCTCGGTGGCTGAGGGGAGCCCCTCAGAGGCTGGGGGGAGCCCCTCGGTGGCTGGGGGGAGCCCCTCGGTGGCTGGGGGGAGCCCCTCGGTGGCTGGGGGGAGCCCCTCGGTGGCTGGGGGGAGCCCCTCGGTGGCTGGGGGGAGCCCCTCGGTGGCTGGGGGGGAGACCCTCGGTGGCTGGGGGGAGCCCCTCGGTGGCCGGGGGGAGCCCCTCGGTGGCCGGGGGGAGCCCCTCGGTGGCCGGGGGGAGCCCCTCGGTGGCCGGGGGGAGCCCCTCGGTGGCCGGGGGGAGCCCCTCGGTGGCCGGGGGGAGCCCCTCGGTGGCCGGGGGGAGCCCCTCGGTGGCCGGGGGGAGCCCCTCGGTGGCCGGGGGAGCCCCTCGGTGGCCGGGGGGCGCCCCTCGGTGGCCGGGGGGCGCCCCTCGGTGGCCGGGGGAGCCCCTCGGTGGTCGGGGGGAGCCCTTCGGTGGCCGGTGAGAGCCCTCTCGGTGGCCGGGGGGAGCCCCTCGGTGGCCGGGGGGAGCCCCCGCAGCCCCTCCCCCGCAGCCCATCGGTGGCTCCAGGGACCCACCGAGGGGCTCTTCAGGAAAGAGGTGTTTCGTTGCATTATATTCTGGATATTTTTTTTTATAGGGTGTCTATTTTTTTTCTTTTTAAGTAAGGACATTTGTATTGGCACGGTATTGTTTGATTTAATTTTTGCCAGGTAAGAGTTACAGAGCGTATTCTCTCTTTTTCAGAGATGCGTAGTTTTATGTACCGACAGTCCCTTCTGTATCAACGATCATGGGATCTGGTTATGTCTTGATTATTACATTAATTAAACAAGTTAGGTTTAGTGTAGAATATCGTGTGTCGAGTGTGAACGTTTTCCTTGCCATGCTTACACTGGTTAGCTTTACCATAGCCCAATGAGCACAATTCACATGATGGATATAACAGTATCGCAGCTCATTCTCGTGTTGTATAGTTGATACTTCTGATATTTCAAGCATTTTGCTTTTCATTTGAGAATTTCTAAAGACTGAAATAATATTTTTCAATATTGATTGAAATTTTTCGTTAATTGCAATTAGTTGCTGCTACTGTGCACTTATAATATCAAGATACAGTCAATTGGAATTTAACTTATATTTTTCCATAAGAGGTAAAATCTTTTGTAGGCATATGTTGACATTTGGGATTAAACCATCATATATACTTCCCATATGATACTTTACAGCTAGATTAAGTATACACTTATGCAGTGTTGATATAGGTAAAACCCAAACCTAAAGCACATTGAAATTTTAGTTAAAATGACACACCATTTGTAGGTTCACTGGAAATGGGAAAAGTGGTACGTACAGTGTAATGATTGTATACAAATTTAATAAAATGAGTAACCCATTAAATTAGGAAAAATATTTGGTCACTCTTTTGTTATAGATTTTGGTTTATTAATAAAGGTTTTCAGTTGTATATGTGAATAGGGAAGATGACTGGTGAGAGTGGTGCAACGGAGTATATTGCATGCAACCCGAGTCTCTTGCAGTAGTGGCTGAGAACACCCAAGCAGTTGAGAACAAATTTCTAAGTATCCCCTTTAGCTTTAGATGCTCCAGTGGATGAATGACAACTGGGGAAAAGATAGTAGTGGAAAGGAGGTGGAAGACAGTAAATATAGTAGCGTGAATTAAGAACATTCATAGTGTGGATACTTTTAAGGGTGAATTTGAGTGAAGAACTGATTAAATGCAGTAGAGAAAATGAATGGAAGGAATGTTGAGGAAATGCCAGAAGTCATAGAGAGTGATGCTGTACCAGATGGTTAGAAGAGAACTTAAATTGTGCCTTTGTGCTGCATAAATATAAGAATGAAAGTGACATGTATAAAATGGTGGTAGTGGAAGGGGTAGAGGAACAACCGAGACACTATTAATTGATGAACAATGTGGGTTCTCCTACAGAAGAGGTTGTATGGATTAGGTATTTGCATTAAGACAGGTAATTACCTAAAGCAGTAGTGAAGGCATGTGAGAAATATTGTAGCACATGGACTTTAGGAAGACATGTTGCACTGTGAATAGAAGTGTACTCCCTAGTGTGATGAACATCTATGGAAATAATTGAATATAATTCATACCATTGAAGCTTTTATAAAGTATTCAGAAAGGAAAAATATTTGCAAGTTACTGGCATAACCAATAGCAAGTTTGATATAATTGTAGGTGTTCACGAGGGTTGTGTAATGACCCTATGGTTGTTTAGTGTATACTGAGCTGCATATGGGTGAGGTCATGGAGGGTCATGGTAAGATTATTGTTTGTATTAGTGTTGGAGGAATTAATATAGACAAAGTTGGGAATGAGACACTAACAGAAAAGTATTGGGCATTTGTTGAGTCAGTCAGGAACAAAAGGAATCCTATCATATTAGTATTCTTGCAAGATGGGGTGATGGAAATTAATGGCTGGCTGTGGCTATGGGTGCCAGTTGCGGACTAGGTAAATACAGCAAGGCTAGTGCAGTATCACTCATTGACAACTGGGAACACTTGTATGAACAGGTTGAAAGGTATTATAATGGATGGGGTTCACTTCTTTAGGGCTGGGGTTGTAGCTTTTGTCTTTCTGTCAGACGCTGCTGTTGACAGAGTTGGAGTGGGTTTAAACTGCTATCAGCTAGAGGCATGGGGTTATATTTTGGGAAAGAAAGTAATAAGGATGTGTGCTAGCAGGAGGAAAGAAGTAGGTGGTATTCAAAAATAGTACTGATTGTTTCTACTAGTAAACAACTAGTAAAAAATTGCAGGTAAACTGAAACTTTAACTGCACGTAAAATCATCATTTTGCCTACATTTAAACATGTCTTTATTCTTTTGTATATTGAATTTTGATATTTTAAATTGAAATATCTTTATTCTTATTGTATATTCCTCTCCTATTTGGGCAAATACCATGCTACCCCATGAAAGTAGGAAACAGTGGAATGATGATGATAAAATGATTCATGTTGTATAAAAAAGGGCAAAAGTGAGTGAAGAAGAATGTAAGGAAGTAGCTCTGTAAGAAGAATGTTTCAGACTTATGACTTGAATTACTTTATGCAGAAATTAGAATGTATGGAGAGATATTCATGGGTCATCATTCAGTATGATGAAGAGAGGTAAATCATTACATTATACTGTACTGTATATGTAATACTTGTTAGAAGCATTGACTGGTGTAATGTGATGTTTTTATGCCCTGTTAACTCTTATCTCCCATAAAATACTTCCATCCATCCATCCAGTGAGTGCCAAGGGTAACTCTGTGACTTAACCCATTAACTGTCCGTTTTCTTTGCACGCTAACATCAGTGGTGGTGATGGCGGAGTATCAGACGATCTTATTAGCCAGATTGATGTTCATGGGTAATTTTCTGGCATGTTATCCCCCTGTTGTTTGGCCTGTTTACTCATTGCAAAGTGGTAGTGGGACACCAGCATTTTGCTGTATGATGTATTTTGAATGCTGTTGTACAGTACAGTGTGGTAATTGCCAAGAAGTTAATATATTGATTTGTCCTATATATAAATATTCTAGAAGTAATATACAGTATATCAAACAGTAAAAGTATAAGAACTGAACATAAAACAAATAGTTTTATGTTGAATACTGTATACTGAAATAGGAATCTTTTCTTTAATATAATTTAACACCATATAAACTGTGATAGCATAATGGAGCGCAATTCTTATCTTTGCATCCAACTATAGTGCTCGAAATCAAAAGTTTTCTTATCATACTTTAGCCAAAAAACACAATAATATTATAGCATGAGAGTAATGATGTGCTACACTACCCCACACAAAGGCCAGGACCAGTACCTTCCAGACCTTCCTTGCCAGGTGGGCCCTCGGGTATTCCAGGAGGTTTCCCAACACAGCCTGGGATACCCAGAAGCCTACCTGGGCAGCCAGGGGGTCGGGTGGGGCCAGGGACGTCTATGTACCGAGCCATTGCCGCCACAGCCGTGGAGGCCGTTATAGGGTAAGGTTTAATGGTGGGCTACGTGTGTGTGACCATTGTCAGAGGAAGCTCTGCTCTGCAAAGGAAACCCAAAACCTAAAGCCCTTCCCCTTTTAATTTAAGGTTCTGTCACTGAATTCCTTAAGCATTAATTAAGATAGATGATATCCACCAACCTTCTGCACAGCTGCTCTTCACTTCTTGCTTCTATTGTATTCCTGGTCCCACTCAGCACCTCTCCTCAACCCCCTGGAGTTAATCATATTATTGTGCTTATTCTTATTGATAGATATCTTAGATGTAATAGAATGCATTATTAGGTCATGATGCATTACTTGCCTTACATGTTAAAAAAGTCTCTCAATTTAGCAAAGAGAATTGTGTACACTGGATGCACCGGACATCAGTTTCACCAGATTCATTCTTAGCCTACGTACATTTGTGAGAATAAATACTGCAATGATAATTTGCTCTTGGCAGCATTGACATATTGTATTATATGCTTATTTATTTATTTATTTATTTATATATTTATTTACAAGGTACAATGGGTTTGTGATAGTATATAATATTTGTGTTTACATTTCTGCAAAGCCATTAACATGCATAGCATTTCGAGCAGGTCTTTAATGTAGCATATTAAATTTCTTATCAGTTTATCAGTTTGAGTACTTGACGTTGTGCTATTGCAACATCAAGGAATGAACTTGATGACCGAGGAATATATTTTTTCCAATCTAAAGCTCGAGGGTTTGAAATCTTTTGTTGCTCATATAGATAAATTGTTTTTTGGTTATACTGAGGTAGTGATTTTAATGACTTGAGTAATAACATATAAAAAAAAAATTGTTTTGAACCTCATTGCTATTAACATAGGGCATAAGTATATGTTCACACTGTTATATACATCTCGGTTTCTACCACTGTAGTAGTAAAGGAGATGGTAGACAAAATTTGTTTGTCTACATATTTTGCATGGTTTGACTTTTTATTTGTGTATGTATACACTGTTTTTGTTTTTTTAAGCATGTATTTTTTATATACAGTATATACATGTTTATGCATAGTTTCTGGGATAAAGTACAGTACTGTAAAGTCAACACTTGGGCACCATTTCAGCCTTGGCATTTGAATTTTCTCTTAGATGTATTATAACTTTACTGACATCAAACATGATGGAATACATGTTTAAACACTAACCTTAGTAAAAAAAAATACTAACCAATGCAGGTTTGTAAATTAGTGAAGAGAAAAGGTAGCAGAAGTTGGTTTAGGATCAGTGTTACCAATACTCTGCTGCACTGTACATGATTGTAACATATTTGTTGTCAGGTCTGAATTGTATAAGAGATATGTATCCATAGAGCACAATGTATGCTTACTATCAAATAAAGCATAGAACATCTTAAGTAAGTTAATAGCCAAGTGAAAATTAGAAAAGGAAAAACAGCATCATTTTGATTTTGTGTTAGAATAGTAATACAGTACACCAATATCTTATTGTCCAGGCTTTGAGTCATGTTTGTTATTATTTGAGAGGTAATTTAATAGTATATGAATATTTCAGAATAAACAATTATAAGTATAATAGTTAACAAGACTGAAGTTATTTAATTTAAGTCTGACTCTGTAGCATCTCGAACAATTATGATGGAGCGTTATATGTCATTGTGATCTGTTTTATTAATATTTTTGTAGAAATATAATAAATGTAGAGAGCTGAGCATAGCAAAATGTTCCTTTCTGAGCATCAGCCTCAAGTACTTCCATAACCTGCTTCAATATGATCCTGCCAAGACTTGTTCACCCACCAGGCTCTCGTTGCTTTTACTCCCATTGTGAACGGTATCTTTACAAGGGCTCCTGTCACTTACATAAGGAAGAGAGAGCGCATTCACCCACCAGGCTCTCGTTGCTTTGACCCCCCATTGTGAACGGTATCTTTACAAGGGCTCCTGTCACTTACGTAAAGAACAGAGAGAGAGAAAGAGTGGCAAGTCTTACCTTGCTACTCTTATGCCAATAGTCCCAGCTCGCTATGGCTCAAAGGAATGAATTACATCTCCTACAAATTACGTCTTCCCATTGCAGGTAAACATTAGAAGTACCAAGGCTGCCAATTATTGCTCTGTAAGCTATTGTTAGTAGAACAAAGACAATGCTGCCTGCCAACAGGCACCACCACCATAACATCAGGGTTATAGGAGCCAGCAACCTCCACTGAGGGTTTAAGTATAAAGTAGGAGACCAGGAAGCAAATGTACCCCAGAGTTACTGGCCAAACATGGCTACAGGATACACTGTACAATGGACAGCACAATAGATAAACCATACCAGTACAAGGCAAGAACCATGACAAAAGGCAGGCAACTCATTCTTCACAAAAAGTGGTGGCAGAGGCTACAGCTGCACTAATTAATCCCTGTGACCAAACACTAGTTTCATCAGCTGGCAAAGAAGGCCATGGAACTTTGCCAACCAGGTCAATGGTTAGCATGGTAAGAAATAATACCATCAGAGTGAGGTCATTAAAAGAAGAGGATACCTGGAAGAGAAAACTTCAAGAATTAATTTCAATGGCCAAGAAGGCTCCAACAGGACACACACATTAAGCAGTCCCTGATGTGCAGTGGAAAGACACTCGCCTGGCATTTCGCACTTTGTCCTGGGTTCGTTTCCTGGCCGGGAAGGATTTGCTGGGTGTCAATCCTTAACAGTAGCCTCTGTTTACCCAACAGTAAAATGGGTACCTGGTTGTTAAACAATTTTTGCGGGGTTGTATTCCGGGGAACATAGGATTAAGGACCTGCCCGAAATGCTATGCATGCTAGTGGCTGTACAAGAATGTAAGAACTCTTGTATATATAAATAAATAAATAAATAAAAATATAAATAAGCACAGCCCAGCTTGGTAAAATAACTTGCTGACAAATCCAACTCAAACTCAAGTAACAGATGTTCCAATAAAGTCAACCTATAAAAGTCACTAGTGCTGAGAATGTCAAGCACTTAACAGTCATCTCAGAAAATTAATGGCATAGACACCTCCACAATGAGGGAAGGAAACTGGCAGAGTGCAGTATAATGCTGAAGCTGCTATAAATCCAAACTAGTCTGGTACACTGTACAATGAAGTGAACACTAATAGCATGGAACATACTGCTCTGTGACAACAGTCTGGAGGACTGCTGTCATCCCCGACCCTGTTGTGGTTGTGATGGAGGCTTTAGCCAACATTCCATTAATAAAAGGAGTGGTAATTTGTGGGTTTGATACAAAATATCTAATTTTTGCGTGTAGCGGATGTTAGGTAGTTGTGATTTGCTTCTGTGTACTAGTAAACTGGCTCTTTCGGTGCTAGCTCGAGTTAGACTTGCTGCCTTCTTTGATATAAGACAGGATCAATTGCAAATATCCCTCTCTCATGAGGTGGAGAAAAGCAATGAGAGTCTGGTGTATGGTAAAAGTCCTAAGTGGATCATAAAAGAGTTGGTATGAGAACATCTGAGGGGCCATAGCTCAGATTTATATTAAAAAAAAAAAAAAGGCTACAGTACAAAGTACTACAGATAAGGATTGGTGTATTTAAACATAATAAGATTTGAAATTGTATCATTAAAGAGCAAACATGTCTCTATAATAATTTACTCATACATGTACCTGAAAATATATTGAAAGTAAACAATAAAATATTTGACATTGAGCCTTAGAAGATAATAAAAGACTAAGTTAACTTATCTTCTTAATGCTTTTATTACAGTCAACAAGTACAGTATTGTACAATTTCTGTATTTTTTTAAGACAGATTCTGCAGGTTTTATACCCGCTGTTATAAGGACTGTCTCTTTATGTAACCAAACACTTGGACAACTTTAAGACGGTAGGCCATAATTCACAATACTATTAGTGAATTATAGTGTAGGTGATTCAATTACATTAGCCTTTGCCTAATGTAGTTGCATCATCTGTGTAATTTTCTGTGGCCCAAATGTCTATGAATGTGCAATTATGCTAATTAATATAGCAACAAATCCTACATTTAAGCCAAAAATACTCAAGTCAGGATATTTTATCCTTGCTTGAGTTTTAGCTCCTAAATACCCCTCCCCCCCCCCCCTTTCCCCCGCCTGGATTATCCACCTTCACAGCAACAAACTGGGCGAAGGTGTGGTCGGTGATGTTGTCAAGGCGACCTCCGCTGATGTCTTGGCTGAGGTCATGGAGGGTGCAGTGTGAGTCATGGATCATAGAGAGTCATATGTTACCATTGATTTCTTTTGCCTGTATTTTAGTTAGTTTTTTTTTTTATGCACCCCTAGGATTTTTTTATGAGGCACAGATGTTGATGCAAAATTTAGTTAACTTTGTGTGTGTGTGTTTGAACTTTGGGGCTGTTGAGTACAGTATGTGTAAACTGAGAGAGTAGACAAAGCAAAGGTGCCTATAATTACGATGTTTACTGAATTGTTATTGTATGATTCTGTTGAATACTAAGGTGTACTTAGTTATGTGATGTCCTGGGCTGGTGGAACAAAGATGAAAGGAAATGAATGAGGTTGGAAGGAAGTCACTTTTATAAAAATTTGAAAGCAGGGAAATGAGTCAGTTGTATGCTTGTTAATGAATAAAGAATTCCATGGCACAGTGAATAACTTCTTGTATTACAATTCAATGTGCTTATGCATGAAGTTCATGTTTGAGAAGTAATAGTTGCAAGTGTGATTATATATGGTTCATGTTAAAATAGAAGTGATATTAACAAAAATATTTTAGGATAACTTAAGAGAATGAGATTTGTATGATTCTTAAGAGTTACAGAATGCAGCACTTTTAATTAGTGATCTGAATTGTCTTACTAATACATATTTTAAACATAAAGATATATGGTTACAACAGACCACACTTTGAATATTTCATCCATAATAACTATTGCTTCTATAATACAGTATTAGGACTAACACAAGAATGTGAGGTAGGCTACAGAACAAATTATGAAATTTCAGAAAAAGTAATTGACTATGTATTTAAGAAATGTATAGTGTAGTAAGTATGTGATGCAAGTGCTGTAAAGGGAATATCTTAGTTTGTCTGATGATATATTAGTGCAAGATAAGAGTAAGTAGTAAAAGAATTAAGTGATCATAGACTTCAGGAGATGAAGGAATAAAAGTCGAGATGTTGAGTGTGTGTGTGTGTTGGGCGATGAGTACAAACGAAGAGTTAAGTGATCTTGAGGACACTACTAACAACTGAACCAGAGTCGATGTGTGGAAAGTATTCATCAAGTATTTAGTGAAGAGTTGCAAGGAATTATATATATTTGCACAAACTGGTAGAAGAATGAAAGGAAGTGTTTGGTGGTATGAAGTGGAGGCAAGAGCAGTAAGTGATAAGAAAATGATGTGGAATTTAAGGCTGCTTAGTTAATGAGAGATAGAAACAAAGGTACAGCAAGTGAGAAGATCAGCTTCTGAAACTCTTTGGAAGAAGTATGTGCGGCAAGGAGACAGGTGGATGAGTAAATGGGAAGGTTAGATAGACACGGGTTAATGTTAAATGTTGAAATGGTAAACAGAAGTGGCTTGAGAAAATACTTGTAAAGTTTAGGGGGTGTAGGTGTTGAAATAGATATTATTATTAACATAATTTGATTTAATATTGTGAGAAGAGTGGAAGATTGTATGCCAGTTGATATATTTAGAGATTAGAATTGTAAATTTTAGATGAATAAAAATTATTTTTTGTGATGATATTCCTGTATTTTTTTTATGTTGATTAATAGCCAGTCAACGAATTTATGTCCCACTTAAGATTATTTATTCATTCAATTTATGCATATTTTTCATAGATGCATTTATAAACATAAGTGGTTAAGATATTTGAGTTTTAGTGCATGGCTTCTTTAAGACAATATAAGTGTTGAATATTTCCACTTTATTAGTACTACATCAGTTATACTTATTTGGTTTTGTCCACATTGGAGGCTCATTTGCATGCAGTACTTGTTTTTGCAATGTTATTTTCTGTGTGATTGTTCTAAATGTTGTTGTATTGTGTTGCAAACATAAGAGATGGGTAGATGCCCTTACAGTATATGACAGAGTTCAAGTAGTTTGTGTTGTGCCCATTTTATTAGTTTCATTTGAGTAAATGTTTTGTGTGGCATGCTGACGTACATTTGTTTACTGGTTTGCGTTCTAACATGCATTCATATTCAGCCAATCTGCATGGCATTTTATAATTAGTGTATATTTTGGTGTGTATTCATGATTGAATGTTTCTTTGATTACAAAATTTACATGCACTGCATAAAATTAATGCTAATGTGGGTGTGTTAATTTGTTGTTATATACCGTAGCTGTTAGGTGCTTACTTATTGTAAATACTGTAATAATAAAGAGCATG